ATTAATTGTAATATGGTCATCAATATATCTGTAGGTGTGTTGTAGTAATTTAACTCTTGTGGTTGTAGATTTTTTGGAAGTTAAATTCTTTGACAAATAAAAGATATTACAGATCGAGGTGCTGGAATGTAAGCCCATTGGCAATCCTCTGACTTGTTTAAAAAGTTGATTTTGAAACTTGATGTAGTTATGAAAAGTGTGCATTTTAGGTAGGTTTTCCATTTGTCAAGAGTCATGATATTGAGTAATTACTTCAAAACATCTTTCAAAATATAACTTACCAGTATGGATGCACACTTTTAAAATAATTCTACTTTAATTAAACTTAGGAGATAATATAATCAATTAATCAATACTGTTTAGGAAATAAATTATTAATTGAATAGGATAGATATAAATGGCCCCCGCACTGCCATTTTGGGAACAATAACTTCCATTCCAGAATTTTTCTATAATACTTTTTAATATCATTCATGATTTTATTACAATTAATGGTGAAGAAAATCTTAGGTTTAAAAATTCATATATTGCATTGAAAAATTCAACGAATTTCATTTCTGATTTTGTTTAAATGGAATGCATTGTAAGCATTTAATTTCTTTCATAAATGAAAGTTATTGATGAAAATGGAAATAACTCCTGTTGTAGTCATAATAGTAATTTTTTGGGTAATATACTTATGCTAATTGCATATGACTTTTATATTCAGTGGTGGCCGAAATTGTGGACACTTTTGGAAATTTTTATGTTTTTGAACTTTGTATGCTTATAGAAAACGTTACGTTTCACAAAATGCAAACTTGTATATATCATTTTAAAGAGAATTTATTACTGAATTCAATACTAAACACGAAATTCAATTATTTGCAATACAAAAAAAGTTAAACGATAATAGTTATCGATATACATTAGATAGTGATGATTGCAGTGAATTATCAGTACTTAGTAGGGTACCCTTTATTTTTGATTACAGCTTCACATCAAAGTTTCATTGAGCTGATAAGAGTTTTAAGCTCTTCTTTTGTTATTACATGATGCCAGGAAACAATTATAGCCTCAATTAGTTCCCTTTTATTTGATGGGTGCCTCATTCGGACAAGAGTTTTCAAAGGGTGCCACAAATTTTCGATAGGATTGAGGTCAGGACTGTTTCCTGGACGTGATAACGATTTAATGCTCTTTGTATGAAACTACTCTTTCGATATTTTGGTCGTGTGGCAAGGAGCAGAATCCCGCTGAAAAATAAATGAAGCATTGTTGCGAAAGAGATCTCTGATGGAAGGTAGAAGTTTTGGTTCTAGAATAGTGGCAATGTATTTTCTGGCATTCAGTGTCCCATCAATGACATGAACGCGACCAATACCATCTGCTGACATGCATGACCAAATCATAGCACTAACTGGGTTCTTCACAGTTGCTTGAATGCAATCAGGATGTAGCTCTTCTCCTATTCTACATCTTACTTATTTTCGCCCATCACTACCAAATAACGATATCTTAGTTTCATCGCTCCATATAACTTGTGACCACTGATCATCTGTCCAATTAATGTGTTCCTTTGCCCACTGTAGTGTTTTTTTCATTGCTGAAAATTAAGATAAGGCTTTTTTCGTGGAATTCTACCTCTCAGTCCAACATCTGTTAATCTTCTCCTGATTGTTCTTGAACTGACAGAAACACCAGCATCATTCAAATCACTTCTGATGGCCGCTGATGACATTTTTCTATCTTGGAGACATAGTCTTTTTATTCTTCTGTCATCAATAGATGTGGTGCACCTTTTTCGAACTTTTCCTTCTTTGTTTTTTATTGAATTTATCTCCTGATACCGTGAACAAAACTTTCGGACTCCAGATGTAGTCACTGAACCACCCACCTGTCTTGCAATTTCAGCATAGGAAAGACCACTTTCTCGTAACACAATAACATTACATCTCTTTCTAGGTGTCCAATCTACTCTTTTATTTGATGTCATTGCTTCTTGACTAAATATTAAAAATTTTTACAAAAATTCCTACTTGTAATTGCAGTGTATAAGAAACAGGTCCTCCTTTTAGAGAACAAAGCAAAATAATGAATTGTTTCAAGTGTAAACATGATCTCAGCTTCTACTGGCAGTTACTAACATTTGATTGGTTCTCAGAACAAGATCAGCGATTGGCCAGGAAAGCTCGACATTACAAACCACTTCATAACTGTGTTTTTTATTTAAAGTACATATAACTTTTTGTATTGCAAATAATTGAATTTTGTGTTTTGTATTGAATTCAGTAATAAATTCTCTTTAAAATGATATATACAAGTTTGCATTTTGCGAAACGTAACTTATTCTATAAGCATACAAAGTTCAAAAACATAAAAATTTCCAAAAGTGTCCACAATTTTGGCCACCACTGTATATATAAACATATGTAATTAGCAAATTTTGTGTTATCAAGTAGCACCATAATTTACCTTTAGCACAACTAACACACACTACACGGATAGACTGGAATATTCTTAAAACACACCTGGAAAAGTCAGGGAATTTCATTCTCCTGTTTGAGTGGCAACCCTGTGTCAAAGACTGTGTCAGTTGAAAGACATAGAGAAGCTGTTACAGATAAGCTTCTTGGCAAAAATGTCTTTTTTTTTATATTTTTGTTGTGGGAGTTCTGCATTCATTTCTAAAATTATTTCAGACAGTTGATTGTATGTGCTCCTTTCTATCTACAACTTTCCATAGTATGCTAAGTCAGCTTCTCAGAAAATTTGTCGAAAGAGATTTATTGCAAAAGGAAAAAGTTCCTGAAAAGTTGATAAACGTAGATATTCTGAATCATATCATTTATTGTAAAGTTGGAGATGCAGGTGATATAGATGTGGGTATTGCTGCTGCAAGTTTAGCTAAAAGTGGAGTGTCTGATGTAAAGGAAAGAGAATTCACAACTCGGAGCAGAACCTTTTTGCTTAAGTTTGCATCAAAAATAATTGAAAGAAGCGCATTTAAATATAGCTTGATCAAACATATTTCTTCATTAGATCCTAAGCATGTTACATGTAATGAATTTTTATGTGAGAAAAGTATGGAGAGGTTACTGCATATTCCTGTATGAAAGTGAGTGGATTAATCCACAATGTAGATAAATCAAAAGTGCAGCTTAAAGGTGTTTGGAAAGACATTTTTGTTAACTATGCTGCAATGCAACTTGATCACTTTTACAAGGACTTGATTAATAATTCAAATTTTGAGGAACTTTTGAATGGATAAAGGGATAAGACTATTTCTAATTTTATCACGACATGTGACGGTAGAAAGTGGTTTGTCAGTTAATAAAGATATGTTGGTAGATTACCTTCAGAAAGATTCTTCAACAGCACTGCAAACTGTTTATGATGCCGTAAAAGCAAACGGAGGTGTGAGGAATATTAATATTTACAATTCCTGATATTTCAGTTCTCTTTTGCTGACAGGTCCTTAATTTTTTCCATTAATAGTCCTTAGAAGTACTTAATTTCCATGTGCAGAAATGTGTATCTTTAATTGAATGTATTCAGTTCCCTTTTGCTGACAGGTCCTTAATTTTTTCCATTAATAGTCCTTAAAAGTACTTAATTTCCATGTGCAGAAATGTGTACGAACCCTGATACATGAACATGTGTATGCACACATACATGCATGCATTCATACATTTCTGGACCAGGTCCTGATAACAGAACAGCACCCAAAGTGTACTGAATACATAGGTAAGAAAAGAAATTTATAGTGATGAAAAAGACGATTCAATCAAGATTGCATGGCATGAGGCTGGCAAAGCATTAACTACATTTGTAAAATTCACACACAAAAACATTGTAAAATATAATATTGAGGAACTAGTAATAAATGTTCCATGGTATAACTTTAAGAGAACGTGAACTATATGACACATTCATTTTAACTTTATTTACGACTTCTTGTACTGGGAATAGTAATGAAGCTGAAATTGATTAAATTAAATGATAAATTAATTTGTTTATTAAGTTTTACTTGTGAATTATATTTGTGAAATTATTATACGCATTCTTTTGCATTCTTCAATACAGTAAACTTCCAATCAGCTGGGGGTAGATTAATTGGACCATGTATAAACAAATTTGTTTTTTGCAGAGTGATAAAAACGACTGTTACAAACCATCAGAATAAAGCAGAATTTTTATGGAAAAGTTTTCTTCTTAAAAAGAGAAGAAAATGTGTGGGTTAACTGCAGTCAATAATAGTTGTATACTGCAGTATTTAAGAACTGTTTCCATACACAACAGTAATTTAATTGTGTTTAACCTGGAATATATAAACATTGTTAAATCATCCATTAAAAACAAATTGCTGAACTGTAACAATAAATTAAGTGTGCAGCTATTAATTTTCTATTTTCCATTGTCTCCGAATAAATACGAAGAATAATATCAAGTATATGAAATGCGAGACTAATATCAACCAAAAAGCTATGCCTTTTTTAAAAAAAGTTTGTGCATGTTTTAAATGCTGATTTTATTTACAAAATCAAGTGAATTTATTCTTTATTATAAATTGCTTAAAAATATAAGTGAATTGTTAATAGTTTTTCTGTCAAATTAGAATATGACTTATTCTTCTTCCAGTAAATTGATGCACAGGTGTAACATAGCAGACAAACTTTAAGACCCTTGTGACTGTTAGATAATTTAAAGATTAAGAAGACTGTAATTTAAAGATTGAAATCTGTGTAAAAATTAAGATCTGATGAAAAATGTGTTTGGAAACTTTTTTCCTAAAATTATTGATTAAAAAGTTTTAGTTATTACTTTGCTTAAAAAGATAATTAAATGTTATTCTTTGATTATGATGTCTTTAATTTGATTTTCCTTACTTACATAAGTAGAATTTTTTCCATTTGTTTACATTTTTCAAAGCCCAGGATTTTTATTTTAAGCTGATATTTGGGGAAAAAAAGTAAATTGTGCAAAGATTAAAAATAATAATTATAGTAATTATAATAGCCTTAAATAAATTTGATTTTTTATTTTGTAGAAATATGCCCTGAGTGCCGGCTTTTATTTTTTTAAATGTCCTCTTTGCAATAATTCTTCTGACTTCATCAAAGAAATGCAAGTGCATGGGATCTGTATTCCTGAGAAGTAAGTTAAAAATTCTTCTGTTTTTATTATAATATGCACATACCCAATATTGTCACATCATGGAAAAGTCATTGCTTTGAGAAAGATACTTTTACATGTTTAACACATACTGGTTTTGGAAAAGATAATCAGTTTCTTATTTCTGTGTATTAATTATGCATATTTATGTTACAAAATAGCAGAATATGCATATGTTTTTTTTCACCTCACGTAAGATATACTGTAAAAGAACAGGAAATAGATATAATAGGGAAAAAAAAAAACTAGATACAGGTATGGAGTTTTTACCATAGAGTAAAGACTATGTATACTTTCCTTCATTTATATTTAGCATATAAACTTTTTCCCAACCCTTAATTTACAATGCTTTAATAATTTACATTATACAAGTACATGAGATTAGGAAGTAAGCATAGCAACAGTGAGCAAGTAGGACATCATTGATGCTGAAGAAGGAAATACTTGGTTTCCCATTATAAGAAAATCACTGCAGCTTTTAACTTATGTTAAAATGTTTTTTTTTTCTCTGTAGGCTCATTTTCTCCAAGCTCTCCTTCATTGCAGTTTATATGTAAGTTTCAAATATTGTTAATTACAATACCTAAGTTGAAATTTGTCAGACTGTGAAGGAAATGTATGATAAACATGATAAAACATTTTGAGTCTTTCTTATTTACAATTGTTGCATGCATAAGTTAATGCCGTTTTTCAATGAGGTGCCGTTTTTATCCCCCATTGATTTTATTAGTATAAGATACACTTGAAAGCAGTAACAGTACCACAATAACATGGTATTCAGGTAGACGTCCAATTCTTCTCTTGTAGAACTATCGTGGTTTCGAGTTAAAGAAATCTTTTAGCCATTTGCTAAGAAAATCATCATGAAACTCTTGTTCTGAACATTGTTAAAGAGAGAGGGGATTAAAATGTGGTAGTCAGAAGGAGTGATAAATGTGTCAGAAGTGTTCATTTTTCTCTACTTGATGCTTCATCTTCTGTTCACAACAGTCAAACTTCAGATTGAAAAGAAACAATTGAGTAACCCAAAAAATGAAGGCTCCACAATGCATTGTTGCCAACCTAATTAAGAACGGCACGGACTTGCACACCGACTCAATATGAGAGAAGTAGGAAGAAAATGAGCTGAATTTGATCTAGCTTATCCACAAATAATTGCTCTCATCCTCTATGTGTTCCTAGAGTTCTTAATAACTATGCCATATGTACAGAAAGAAATTGACACTGTATTGAAATAAATAATGGCTTTGAAACAAGGTAAATAGCTATATGTAGCTGAAAGAAAAAATCTGTGATAAGGCAAATTCTCTTTAACAAGCAATAAACATCATAAATACCAAAATCACTAAGTCTAAAACATTAATCATTGAGCAGAAGCTCACTACAGTCCTCTTCTTAATAATTATGCCATATGTATGGAAAGAAATTGACACTGTATTGAAATAAATAATGGCGTTGAAACAAGGTAGGTAAGGAAAACTATATGTAGCTGAAAGAGAAAATCTGTGATAAGGCAAATTCTCTTTAACAAGCAATGAACATCATAAATACCAAAATCACTAAGTTTAAAGCATTAATCATTGAGTAGAAGCTCACTACAATCCTAACAACTTTGAACAGTTGTTTAGCTAGCCTACGAAGGGCTTGTGAAATCTAGTTTGAAGAGCAAAAATGGATTGAGTACTATAATGTTTAAAATTTAAGACTATTTTCAGGGTATTCACTTATATTTGGTAAAGTTATGTCTAATAGTGTTCTAAAATTTAAAACAAGGTAGAAATTCATATTAAAGACATTAAAAAAAATATTTTTGTTGTGTTTGCGTCTAAAATGCAGTGGTGCTTAAAATTAAGACTAAAAATTCTGAAAGAATTTTGAACCCAAACTGGAAATTATGTGGTGAAATATTAATGAAATAATGCTGGTGTCGTACATGCTATTATAAATTATAAATATGCTATTATAAATATTAATGAAATAATACTGATTCATACATGTATGTGTTGCTGCAACAATGGTAGGAATAAAAAGTGAGTGTTTTTTTATTTAGCATTTTGTTTGTAATCTTCAGGGATAATGGTCATGTGATCAGCCTTTTGTTAATAGTTGTGTAAATATCATAATCTCGGTACATTCTTTTTATTATATATTCAACTTTCAATGTGTAGCTAGCATAGAGACCTATGCATACATTTCTAGTATCTCCAACTGAAACAAAGATAACTGTTCCCTCTTTTGGTATATGAATTGTTCCTCCTGTCATAATTGTCATGAATTGTCCTTCATTGTTCTCATACACATAATAATGCACTACTGTTATATACTTTTTTGTGGAGATTATGAGCAATTTGATCCCATTTTCTTATGTTTTCCTCACAGATCTGTTGTGAAGTCTTCCAAAAAGTATTTTCTTTCAATTATTTCTTCTAATGAAATTGTAATTTATGATTGTTTTTTAAACGTTTATGTATGAATTGTATGCCGCCATCTAACACATCTAGTGCAGGTGTTTTCCCACCAAACTCTCACCAAGTAGCGGGCGATTTTTTTGAAATTCGTGGGCAAAATTACTTCTGCGCAAAATAGTTGTAGTTTTTAACTTTAGGGTTTTTTTTTATAAAACTTTTAATTTCTCTTTAAAAATCAACTTCTTTATTCGCTTTAAAAAAGTAAAAATACTTCCTCAAAAATCAAGAATGTAAGTGTTCTATCTTTCAAAGCACTTTCCTTTGTGCAAAGGTGCTTTGCAAAATTTAAATGTATATTGCATTACACTGTGTATTTTCTTGATGGAGCACACATGACATCATTGCAAAGTATTTTTTTTAAGTTCGTATGATGGGTTCTAATGTATGTTTCCTCATGTCCGTGGAAAGTGTCCCTGAGGATTCATGCTTTGTTGCTTTTTTTCTAGTGCTGAATGTTGATGGTATTGTTTCTTCTGAGTTTTCATGAACTTCTGGAGAAATTTCATCAGTAAGGTAATGGACAGCTATGAGTTTCAAAAAAAATTTGTACTTTTTTTCCTTTTCTTTCATGGAATTATAAACAACAGATTGTTGAATAATGTTCAGTTTATAAAGTGCATAGCAACTCGTTTTGTCCATTTGGGTGTTTGTCTTAAAATGGAGTAATATGATAGATACTGGTCAGCCCGATCAATGCCCTTTACGTACTTATTATAGTCAATCAGCGCATAAGGCTTCATTGTTCCCCCCCCCACATGTTTCTATCAATATAATGATTTTCTTTCATTTTAGATTGTATTGTCGATATGAGAGAGACTGATTTCTTTGATAGCCATACTTGTAATAAAATCCCTTTTTCTTCTGAAGGCCATTTCTCATCTTTACAATGAAATGGTTTTTAGGCAATCCGGAAGTCCTCTGTTTTTTCGAATAGTGCTGCAAAGTGTAATTTTATTTTGTAATACCTTTTCACTATTTTTCATGCTGTTATAATAGATACCCATGTAGATATGGTGCCACAATTCTGTATAAAGTGACACAGCTGTTTGAATCAATTCTATCAATGCCTTGAGCACAGTATATTTCAAAATGACACATGTAGCCTGTAGTAGTTTCTTGCAGTATACAAACTAGAATTCCATATTTTACAATCTTCACGCATTGTAAACTCTGAAGAATAACATTCCCTTCGAGGGTGTTATGCATTTATCCAAAGGCAATTTCTGAATAGGCTTATAAACATTTGTAAACTTGAGAACAAAATGATTCGGTAATGATTTGACTTTCAAAAGCCTGTCTGATCAATCAGTCTTCATTAAAGTGCCATACCTTCTATGACATATGAAATCTGTCTCTTGTTATTATTTTCTAAAAAACTGGTGTAAATGGATCCCTGCTCCAATAACCCTCTTTTCAGTCATTATGTTCTATAAGAAGAATAAGCTGTAAAAATTTCTTCATGCCTTGTGATGTCTTTTTGTTTGAAGGCTTTTATGGAAGTTATGAATTTATCAGTATTTTGGTAATAATATGTATTGGACTCCTCTACAAGGAAAGTAAAAAAAATCATCGTCAATAAAGAAAGCTGCAGTATCTGCTTCACTACCTGGAATGATTCCTGTATTTATTCCTAAGCAGCTTAAAAACTCTTCATGGACTAGAGGTTTGTCTACTATCATTCGTGAGAATCAGAATCATCCGAATCTGGGCTTGAATCTGAACTGCTTGAAATTGTTTGTCAAATAATAGTCCTAGGACGATGTACGTCATCTTCACTAGAATCATCATCAATAACCTGGCCCTCACAATTTGACAAACTACCTGCACACAATTCTTCACCATTACGTTCTAGTTTATTATTGTTCATCTTTGGGAATTTATTGTAAAAAAAATCAAATTAGGCTGCGAACACACAAGTTCTAAATTGATGCTCCTAGTGATGAAGTTCAATTATGAAGATGTACTTATTTATAACATACAAGGAGCGTGTGCTTGGCAAAATTGTCATCTGTATAGAGTGCATCCGCTGCTCAACTTCCCAGATTTATGTCAATGCATAGCTGGAAGCTCAAGTGTTGAATAATATGTTCGTTGTAGCATAACAGAGTCAGCAAAATGCATTTATAGAAATGCGTTTTTGCAATGCATGTTTTAATGTTGAAATGTATGGTCATTGACGTAGAGCTCATGTGTACCTGTTCGTATCGTAAAAGCATTAGAAAAGCCCACTGATAACTATAATTTGTAGAAAACAACTTTTGTCACTACCCATGCTCGACTACCAATCCTAACAAAATGACTTTAGTTGCTTCCTGTGCAAGATGTGTAATAGACGGCCGGTGCAAAGTACAGTCGAAGCCGGTTAATTGGACCGGCCGCATTTTCGGACCGAATCCCAAAGAACCGGAAAAAATCCTATGTACATAAATAAGCCTAATATTATTTATTCACTTATTTGGACCAAAATTCCATTTAATCAGACCAAAAGATGTGAGAGTGAATAAGAAACAGAAG